GTTTTCTTAGGGTTTTTTGAAGGAGGAGAAACCGATACATATCATTACCTGAAACTCTACGTCTTTGAGCAAAACAGCATTTTAACATCACACATCACTCGCATGAATTATTGCCTGTACTCTGTGTTGACAGTGATGGATATTCACTGCTCTGAACCCATGAGCTGGGATTTCCGTTATTTCTTAATCGTTCACGTTTCTGCGTCTACTTTGCTAAATCAGCAAATTTTCTGAGAGACTTTCTACACCAATTAATAATCAAAAAAATAATTTTAAAGGGCTGAAAATCAGAGCATTTAACCGCGGCCGGTGAAAGTAAATCTCCTGCAACGGGAGACATTGTAATCCCCCCCTCAAAAAAAAATATTCCAACTAAAATGACCATTTTCAAATAAACACGTAGGAAAATTCTCATTGGAAATCCCTTGTTGACAGAAGTGATGCATTATATACCTTTAAAGCCAAGACACAAACAGAACACTGCTGTACCTGCAGGATGAAATACAGTATGACTAAGACAGATGTGTTCTGTATGGCCCGGGGGCCAATTGTGGCCCTTGAAGAGTTTTTACGCGGCCCCCGATTTAAGTGTGTATTATTAATGGCCTGCCAGGACGATCAAACTGAACTAATAAATCATAAGAGCCCAGGTTGTAGTTCTGCTCCTGAGTTATGCAGCAGCCATTGTGTCACTCAGTGTTTCTCCTGTTCGGGCTGTCAGGAGCCCAGTGTGTGAAAAATGGAAGGATATTGTCTACCGTCGCTCGGTTCACGCTCTAGTGGAATTACTGTCAACTAATTAGCGTCCAACGCATGCAAGTGATGCACGGACACTGTTGGACCTGGTTGGGATTCAGGATGTCGGCGATGTACAACGAAGCTACACGTTGGAGAAATAAGACTCCAAACCTGTGATTCTAGAGTCGAGACGTTAAAAAGAACTGAAACTCAGTCATTATATACAGTCACAATAAAGCATTTATTATTATTTCTTCTCAGTTCCTCACGTTCTGGCCCATCGGTGACACTCATACACACTCTAGCCCTGTAGGTGTCACTAATGGACCTGAAGTTTTTGTTTATTAACAGAATGTTTAGTGACATCAGTGAACGAGAAAGTTTTAGATAACTGATAGAAAATGCCAAAAAAGAGATGAATATAGATGAAACGTAAATACTTTTGTTTTGTGGATTCAAATTTTTTGGTTATTGTTTCCAATATTGTAAAAGATGAATATAGATGAAACATAAGTTTTGTTGTTTTGTGGAATCACATTTTTTGGTTATTGTTTCCAATATTGTAACGTAAAACTGTGATTGGTAGAACATCCCTCACCAGATTCTTGTATTATTGTGATTCTACTGTTTGAACGTGTTCTTATCTGCAGTTTCCCTGCAGTTAATTATTGAAGGGTGAGAAAATGGTACGTATTTAATGGAAGGTTTTAGTATCTGAGGAGGAGCAATCAGCTCTGAGTCTTCACAGTGTTCCCACACACTTGTTCTACGTGTGTGTGGGTGTGTGTGATCTCATCTTACAGTTAGAAACTAATACAAATTTTATCATTCTGTCTTTATTGAAGATTTTTTAACTGGAATTCCCCACCTGGGAATAATTCCTCTCTCTTCGTTCTTACCTAAATGTAATTTGTAAAGTTTAGCAAAAAATGTGTCATTTGCCTCAAGAAAAAAAAAAAAAAAATCATAGAGCAATTATTGACAACATTAACGCAATATTGAGAAAAAAAAAAGAAAAAAAAAAAGACACCATGTGGAAAACAATTCTAAGAAACTCAAACAGAATCTGTGCCAAAAGTCGTCCCCTTTCTCAGATGAAGGAAAGACCAAAGATTGAACATTTCCACGAAGCGTTTGTTATCAGCGTGCGTCTGAGGTTCTGTATAATGTTCGGTGTTTGAATATACCTGCACCTGTATCTGTGTGTGTGCCGTATACGTGCGTCTTTTTCTCCGTGACACATTATCATACACATACAAACGCATCACTTCCCCTCGGTCCTGTCTGAGATCAGAGTCTCTGAAGCCCCTCAGCTGTCACTCAAACGCTGCTACCTGATGTGGGCGGGGCCGCAGCAGCTCTGAAATCTGGCAAGTCAAATGTTTTTATTTG